TATCATTAAATTTTGTAAAACTATTTCTCGGGCATTAGCGCAGTGGACTGATCGTTAAGACACGGTTCCCAGCGGATCACCGAAGTCAAGCATCACTGGCTGCAGTCAGTGTGCGGGTGGAGGACCACTTGGATCAGTCTGCGTAGTGACCGAGGGTGTGCAGTATTGGTGCTCGTTAAACTGTGCTACCGTAAAGTGCTCAACTTCACGCGCAGGTCGTCGGGCTACCGAAGCGGGGGTGCCATCCCCTCCGCAGAGGATCAAAATTGTGATGGCATGTCTTCGGATGATCCTCCGGGATGTTTCCCAGACCGTCGCCAATAGCCTATTGTGCAGCTCTAATGCGACGTAAATTAACAACAATCTCGGTCATTAGGTTTTAACTCTTATAAGAATAGACATATTTTTTTCTGTTTATGTACAAATATTTTTCCGATGTGTTTTGGATGTTCCTTCTCTAAAAAAAAGAGATACCATTTTGTTTTCTTTTGCATAAGGAAGAATATCAAAGATTTTTTTTTTTAAATTTAATTAGTCACAATAAAGAAGGAGTGTTACAATGCTACACGCTACATTAAAGGCATCTCCAGAGTAACTGAATGACTGTTCATATAGAAGTCGCAGGTGTTCATCTCATACAGCAACGCCCCCTATAGTTCGTTGCGATCGCGAATTTCGTCTCCCTAATTTGAAGTTTTTTTAATGTACTGCTATTATTATACTTTTAATACAAGAGTTTAAAACTTAGATAATTGTAGTTTTCTTCTTATTGTTATTATATTATAATTCTGCCCTACATTTTAACATAAAGTTATTTAGAAAGGTAGTCTAATCTTATTAACCGTTTTATAAAGTTTGTTTTTGTGCAAATAACATTAATATACTGCCATAAATTACAGTTAAGGAGATCTGTTAAAGGATTTAGAACTTAATGGTAAGCTAGCTTCACGCACAATGAGATGCAAAGCAAGAATGGAATTTAATATATTCACCCATTTGGTAAGCTAAAATATCTAAAAAAAATAGTGCGTGGAGTCTCTCCGCGCGGAAGAAGTTAAACTTCGTAACCTGCAACGTTAATTGTAGAAGAATCAACAGTCGTAAAAGGATCACTAGTTCTATTCAACGACTCTTTTGCCTGCTCCGTTCGCTTCCGTGCTCTGTAATCACGGTAATATTGTGAATTTTTTCCTCGTGGACCTCTTGAAACAGTGGAAGTGCTTGTGGTTGAATCATCATCTCGCCATGGAAAATGTATTTGGATTAATAATGCATGCGAATGCGTCATAATGTAATTTCAAAATGATTTCCCGACCAATAAAAATGTAGCGTTGAACGTTTAACGCAACCTTGTTGGAATTCGCATAAGAAGTATAACTTCAATATGGTTTTGAACTTACAAAATTTATTTGATCAATATAATGTTATAACAATATAAATGTTGTTTTAAAAAATGATTGCTTAGAAAAATTACTTCTGTTCACCAATAAATCTAAATTTTTATAATGATAAAAAATTCTATTTGGACGATAATAATATAGATAATAATATTTGTATAATAATATTTGATCTAATAGATAATGATATTTGGACGTGGGAAGTGGAAGCAAAGACGTAAGCAAACAGAATTCCTTTTAGTAGAATGTTAAGTGGATAGTTTTAAATTTAGTAGAAAAACTGTTTTCTGCCAAGAAACAACACTTATTGCAAGCATCGGGGTTGGTGAGCGGCAGCGAGCAGGGGACTGAGCCCCCTAGTAAGCAAATGAGAGTAAATATCAGACTGTCCCTTATAAACTGTTAGCAACTCATATTGGTAACAATTTAAAACTCAACATAGATAAAACGAATTATGTGATTTCTATTAATAATATATATCATAAGTAACCTAATAAGTAATAGTATATCATAAGAAGCACTTAATTAATAATAAGTATATCATAAGTAACACTTGTAAATTGAAATTAGCATGTGATTTTAAACCAAACGAAAAGTCCACTTCAATAATTTATTTGTGTAAGAGATTTTAACTTGAAATGGAAATCTCGTTTCATATAACTACAGTGCCAACCTATGCCATATTCTTAGACGCACTGTAAGATTCTATGTAAAATCTTAATCATCAGGTTATACTATACAGCTTTAGTGTTTTTACGTGGCTGAAACAAGTTTGCACTTGTTTATGTTCGTACATCAATGGGTTAACATTGTAATGCAATACGTTAGAAATAAATGCAAATAGGAAGTATATAAAAAATCTCCTGAATTAAAACCCATTATATGTATGTTTAAATAAAAAAGTATCGCCTATGAAATCGTGCAAAACATATCATTATTAAAAAGCTACAGTGTGTCTAATAATTTAATCTAATTATTGCGTTTTAATAATAGAATACCTTATACAATAAATATTCTATATTTATATAATATGTCCTTGAATTTGTCTAATCGTGGAATTTATATTATATATTTTCTAATTTAACCCATTGATACACGAACGTACACAAGTGCCAACCGCGTAAAAAAAACAACAATAAAGCTGTATAGTATTACCTGATAATTAAGATTTACCATAGAATCTTACAGTGCGTCTAATAATCAAAGATAACGCAAACTCACCGGCAAAGTTTAAAAGGGCACCAATAATCAACGTTATTTTCAATCCTTTCTTGTCCATCAGAAGCATTACAGGAAATACCAGAGGCAAAAACGCTACCATGAAAGTCTCTGACGTCCAGTTAACAGAGTCCAGACTTGTGTCATAGTGGCAAGCGATGACATCGGCTATGACTGTGTACATGAACTGGGGGACGCCATTCATTGCTGAACACAATGCAAATATGAACATCATGACAAATCTTCTCTTGAACAGTTTTACGGACTCAGCCCATATGGATGGTCTGTGAACTTTGCTTGCGTGCGCATTAGTTTCAGTGTCACAGTGTGCGTCTTGATGCTTGTTGTTGAGATTAGATGTGAAAGAACTTTCTCTGATGTTGTTTTCTGATGAGTTCACTGCATAATGTGTATTCATCCTGAAATAATAAGGAGTATATTGTTATAGAAATAAGATGGAGGAAAACACATTTTATTATAATTAACCGTCTGGGGTGTTATGTAGTAGGCCCCCTCGTGCACCGTTGGTAACGCCAAATCTACTACAACTTGCAGCGTGCAGGCCGGTATTTAGAATTTTTCTTTTTCACGTTTGCTTCATTGGAATGCTAGTAGTTTAACTCAATAAAAAAAATAATTAAGCATCCCTCCTTTCTTAAATTTCATTAAAAATCCAGAGAACAAAACTGGAATTAAATCAGTTAAGTTCTTGTTCAAACGCTGAAATTGAAGAAAAAACTTCTGTTTAATTCAATCAAGTTTCTTGTTTAGGAAGGAAATGCAGTAGAAAATACTATGAAACTATGCATTGCTTTAAAAAGATTTTTTCCTACATTCCAACGCTTTGCTATTTACTTCATAGGTACAGATGAGCCATATGTGGTTTAAGATATCTTAATAGCTCAAACTTACGTACCTTAAGCACTGAGAACAGATAGAGCATCAGCCTAATCTAACGACCTAAGTAGTGTGGGGGGAAAAATAACATTTTGTCCTGTCAACTATTGCCTTTTTTTGTTCAATTCAAATTACTACTTTCACCAACATTTTTCAAATCGGTATTAACGTTAGCCCTAAACTGTATCAACTTCAAACTGTTTGCCCTAACTGTATCAGTCAAGTTTCTTGTTTAGAAATGAAATGCAGTAGAAAATGACTATTTATTTTTCCCTGTGCATTTCTTTAAAGGGGGACTTTTTCATCTATTTCAACGTATTGTTATTTACATAATAGGGCGGTTAAGTCAAAGACGGTTTAGGATATCTTAATAGCTCAAACTCGTGTACCTTAAGAAGTGAGCACAACAAATGTAACATCAGTCTGCTCTAAAATAGTGTGGGGGAAAAATAACATTTTGTCCTATCGACTATTGCCTTTTTTTGTTCAATTCAAATTACTTTCACCAAAGATTTTCTAATCGGTATTAACGTTGGCCCTAAACTGTTCAGTTTTGCTCATTGAGAATTTTTGAAACTAATTTCTATTATGCTTGATGCACCCGTTACAAACGTGAAAATAATTGTTCTCTACTATGTTTGTAAATTCAACGTTGCTCGTCTAATCAATGACTTGGTGAATTCGTTTGTCAGAAACATCGATTCTCTTTTAGTAGAGTCGGTGGAAATTCGTTACGTAATCAAATAAAATTCCAGTCAGTATTGTTTCTTTCGTATAATTATGAACTTTCGATTTGACTCTCCATTATCTACCAGAAGGAACCTCACTACAGAATCGAGTTAACATGTCTTATATATAAGTGGATTTATGTTTAATAATGGTAGTGGTAGTTACGCCACAATACTTCCCCACCAGAATTTTACTAGGGATAGAATTCGATGAACGGATACCTCTAATTGTCGTATTTTCGTAAGACCGGGAGAGCTGTATTAAGTTCACCAAGTTTTGAGATCTTGTGGTAAGAACTGTATTAAGTTCGCCGAGTTTTGAGCGTTTATCGTGAGAGCTGTATTACGTTTACGGTTGGATGTCTGGTTGCTCCTGTGTTGCTAATAGCAGTTGAGTGTGGGCAGGATGCCGTTAAGTATAAATGAGACTGAAAAGGAACATCGTGAGCAGGATAATGAAGCAGACAAAAATAGCAAGTCAACTGTTTTATGCGGACCATCTATCGAAGTAGGCACTTTAATATCACGTATGGAGGTCACCAATGTGGAGTAAGAGCTGACGACTATGCCGTTCTTCATCTGCCAGAAGGTATCTCAAGATAGAATCGAGTTAACATGTCTTATATATACTAGTGAATATGATGTTTAATAATAGTAGTGGTAGCTACAGCACAGTATTTTAGCGAACTTTAAGCAAAATATACGTTTATACTTCAAATTTAAAAAACAAATATTTAACTAGTATAACCTGCTAGATAATATGATAAACATCTATTTCATGCCTAGAACCACAGGTGTAAAATATATATTAATCAGTGTTTGAAAATTCTTACTAATTTTACATGTTCTGGAGGGGATGCTATTCAATAAAATGCACGTCTGAATGGAATTTTTAAATACCCGAACATCTATCTATATTATATAAAACGCTAATACGTACGTATGTATGTATGTATGTATGTATGTATGTATGTATGTATGTATGTATGTATGTATGTATGTATGTATGTATGTATGTATGTATGTATGTATGTATGTATGTATGTATGTATGTATGTATGTATGTATGTATGTATGTATGTATGTATGTATGTATGTATGTATGT